TGTTTTCTTCTCATTGTTAACAACCGCACAAAAAAGCTTATTCATGAATATGAAAGGATCTTATCGAAAATAAGTAGACAGAACATGTCTAAAACATTTATCAAACTAAATTATATATATGTAAATATATATATAAACATATATATATATATATATATATATATATATATATATATATATATATAGAGTCCTTTATATATATATATATATATATATATATATATATATATATATATATTTATATATATATATATATATATATATATATATATATATATATATATATATATATATATATATATATATATATATATATATATATATATATATATATATATATATATATATATATATATATATATATATATATATATATATATATATATATATATATATATATATATATATATATATATATATATATATATATATATATATAATATATATATATATTTCTATAAAAACAAAAATTATGAATTGTATGTGAGTTTAAAACTCAGTGAATTTAAAAATAAGTTATTCCAAAATTTGCTTGAAGATGAAACAGAACTAATGCTTTTAATTTAATTATATAATTAAATTTGAAGTTTTTAGCTTTGGTTTTTGAAACTTGGTAATTCCTGTGTAGCGAAGAAACCATATTTTAAATCAGTTAATTTATAATATTTATGCTCTGTAAATTTACATTGAGCACTGTTATGTAAAAATAAAAATGTCAATTAAGAACACCAGATTATATATCTTTCTGTTCTTTTTTTTATAATATATATATATATATATAAAGGAGTGTAATATATATATATATATATATATATATATATATATATATATATATATATATATATATAAAGGACTCTCACCATTTTCAACACATGAGTATCAAACATATACTCTTTTCAAACCATCTGCAGTTTATGTTTGTTCCTGCTGTATGGCACCAATCCTGCACGTCTCTGGCAAGATAACCTGCATTTCTTGTAAATTAATTGAATTTACCTTGACTCATTGATTGCATGACCTTGTCTTAATTCACTCAGGTGTTCCATCCCAGATTTCATATGCTTATTGATTGTAAAATGTTCTCCAGTTTTCATGGTCTTTGATGATCTCTTTGACTGTGTTTCAATTGGTCTTTATTATCATAGAGTTTCTCTTTGTATCTCAGAAGAAGTCTTCCAACATAACACTGACCATCAAGAAGTTGACTGAACACACCTCCGCAAGGAAAAGCTTCATAGTTTTGAAGCTCTTATTAAAATTAAGAACCCATAACTGCACAGATTTTTTTTAGTGAAAGCATTTAGATTTTAAATGTACTGAAGAATAGATACATATACTCAGAAGAAAGCAGAAGATCAGTCTTGTATTTATTTTTAATTTAATTTTTTTAATTTTAACTTCTTTTTAATCTATTGTATTTCCAACTGATGAATAAACATTAGATACCAAGTTCAGAATTGATGCCATCATGAAGGTCATTAATGAAAATGTAAAACAAAGTAGGACCAAAGATGGAGCCCTGGGAACACTTGCATTAGTAACAAAGGATCTAGACAAGTGGCCATTCAAGATAACTTTTATTTCACAATTTGATAGGAAAGACAGGATGTAGTTTTAATTAAAGGAAAAGGTAATTTATTAAGTTGAAAATGTATAGAAAGTGCACTAATCTCTGAGTTGATATAATTTTTGCTTGCAATACAAAAACCCCTTTCATTTCAATGTTTGTTAACAGTCAACCACGGTATTTCTGGAAGATATTTTTTTAAGGCAAGAAGTTTTTGTAATTAGAGTGCTTGATATCAATCCTTTGCAATTTTTTGTAGTATGTTATTCACCCCAGAAAATACCTGAGGTTTGATTTGAATTTAATGCCCATCAGAAACCTTGATCTAAGAAGAGCTGATTTGTGATGACCCTATTATGTACTTGGTTCATCCTAAGAAATACCAAAGTAACATTTTACTAAGTGCCACCTCAGAAAATCAAAAAACCTAGAAGCCCCAAGGGTTGATCTAAAAGGTGACCTCAAAACCACCAAGTGCAGAATTGGGCCTTCAAAGGATATCAAATCCCAGCTGAACTTTAGATATACATACTGTTCTGCCAGAAGAACAGATACAAAGTCTCCTGGCAATATCCGTGCTCTAAGCATTGGCACTTGATTAGCTATATCATCATCCAAACCTGAGATCAACATCAGACAATTGGTTAAAAAGTTATATAAACCCTCAACCTACGAGGGGAGAAAAAGCATCCCTCACATTCTATGTAAGAAGATTTGAAGAATGATCCAAAACCAGGTGACATAAATTTGGTAGGGTCCAAAAGTGAATAAGCATTCACGGCCTGATGATTGCATCCAGCATGAAACAGCCTGTCACCTCTGAGTGTTGACTTCAATATTCACTTTTATATATATATATATATATATATATATATATATATATAAATTTGTATTAAAAATGTAGTTTTATGGCATGCTATATTTATGGGATAAAGTATTCAATATCAAGGATAGAGCATATGTAAATATAAAAGTGGACATTGAGATCAACACTTGGTGATGACAGTCTGTTTCATGCATAAACAGATGGAGGAAAGATTGTATTTAAGCATGAAACAAACTACTATCATATGATATGCATCAGACTATTACATCTTAAAAGACAACTGGAAAATTAATTAACAATCAACAACAAACCCTTTGAAAATGGCTAAAGTGGCCAAAAGCACTTGGGACAATAGACAATTTTTACACACCCTTACCCCGCCACCATAAAGAAAAAATTAAGAATACTACAGAAGCTCAATAAAAAAAAAATTCATCAAATTTTCCTTGTCAGTCATATTTAACAAAACATGTTTGAAAGAATGCTTGATTTTGTTGAATGACATAACAAAACCTCTATGCCAAAATCTAAATATTTTATTATATATATTATTTATATATAATATTATATTATAACATTATTATATTATGTGTTTCTGTATGTGTATTTGTGTGTGTGTTTTGTATTACTCCTAAGGGAGGCATTTCAATCTAAACTGATTTCAATTTAAAGGTTTATGTATGTATGGGTGTGAATATATATATTGAAAACAATTTTATGGCTTCAACTACATAAAATGTATTGGTGATAATTTTGCTATAAATATGCATTGTTGGTACTGCTTTTTATATAAAAATGTATTACTGGTATTTTTTACTATAAAAATGTATTTTTATACTTACATAGTGTTTTGTTTTTGTTTGGGGGTTCACTATTTTCCCATACCTGAGACCCTGACTGGTGCTGCCACCCAAGATCAGGGTGGACCTGGGAACAACATCAATTAAGAGGTAGTTCGACAATTTTCAAAACCGACAATCTCCCAATCAAAGGCAAGATGTAGATGTTTGAAAAAAAGGTTGCTGCCTAAATATACATTATATATATATATATATATATATATATATATATATATATATATATATATATGATACTTCAAAAATTATTATATTGGACACTTTTATTTGAAATAACTGTCTCATTTTTACTTATTAAACAGCATCTATTTTAAATACCAAGTGTCCACTATAATAATGCTTAAAGTAATAAAAATGTTTGATTAAAAATGAATCCATTAATTCTTTAGAAATATATGAATATTTTTGTCATGGTTGCTAATGGGTGCAACAGTTTTCTTTTTAATTATTATTCCTTTCTTCCTGCACAGGCAGTAAGGTAGTTATTGGGGAGTTATTTTTCCCTGGTGCTCACTCACTGAATTTTTTCTCTCTTGTCCATCATGTCATATCAGCCAAGGGGAATCTTTTCATTATGTTATCTAGCAATAAAACAGAACACTGCAGAACACAAGTATGTGGGTTCATGCCTTTTCCAAAGAGCATTAGTGCTAAAAGCACCCTTCACTTTCATTTTCTGTACTTATATTATACCTCCATCATACCATATTTAGATGACTGAGGAAATTAAACTATTATTCACTTGACTTTGATGTTTTTATTTACATTGTTCAGACTGTTATCCTCATCTTTATTCTCAAATTCACAATGTTTCAGTCATAGTACATTATAGCCTTCTTCAGGTGATATTTGTTGAAATTTCAAACCAAATGCTTTATTTCATCCACAGGGGTAAATTGTTTTAATTCCATGTGCCATACCTTTGGATATCTCAGTTTTAGCATCTGTTTATATTTCTGAGATGAGGTATTATGTGCACTATTTACATTATTCGGACTATTGTCCTCATCTTTGTCGCCATATTTATTACTGTATAAAGTTCTCCACTGCCTTAACCGGGTATTGAACTCTCACTCTTTGGGTCTTGTCACTGGATCTAACCAACACCTTTATCCACTGTGCCATGTGTCCTTGAGGAACTTGGAGAGGGGAATCAGGAGATAACTGATAACTGACATCCATTAAACATGGCGCATGGAACTAGAACAGTCTACCCCAGTGAGTGAAATAAAGGGTTCAGTTTGACATTCCAACCACCTGAAGAAGGCCGGAGTGTACAATTGCCGAAATGTTGTTATCTCAGTTTTAGTTAATTTGACTTGTTCTTTCCACAAGTGAGGCCAGGGATTGAACTTGAGACTAAAGATGAGGACAACAGTCTGAATAATGTAAATAGTGTAAATAGTTACAATACCTCATCTCAGATCCTGAAGAAGGCCAGGGCGTATAACAGCCGAAACATTGTGAATGTGACAGTAAAGATGAGGACAACAGTCTGAATAATGTAAATAGTTACAATACCTCATCTCAGAAATATAAACAAACCCTGAAGAAGGCCAGAGCGTATAATGACCGAAATGTTGTCAATGTGACAGTAAAGATGAGGACAACAATCTGAATAATGTAAATAGTGTAAATAGTTACAATAACTCATCTCAGATATATACTCAAATGTTTTATCTTTTTGTTTTAGATTAAATAAACCTGAAATTTTTAAAAGTTTTTTTCCCTTCTTTTTTTTTTTTGTCAGGTAACTTTAATCGAAACAGATTTACCTGACTCATCAGATGAAAGTAACTGGGCCAAAGCTACAGACAATAGTGGCTTGGTTCTGGCAATGTCTCCTCCGTTTGATGGCAGTGATGAAGAAGTTGGAAGTAATGGAAAGTTTAAAAAAATGAGACAGGTTTTAAATCCAAGTAAGTAACAAATTATTGTCATAATTATTTCATGTCACAATTTCGCATTTAATGGCTTGGCAGATATGGCAGGAGTTTCATTTTAAGGATGATCCAAATTTGGTAGAATCCAGAATTATCAATGCCTAAGAGCAAAATATGGTTTATGATTAGAGTAGTTAAATTTATATATGTTGTATTTAGAGCCATAATATATGTGGATTTAGGATTAGGGAGTTTAATTTTATATAGGTTGAATTTTGAGAAATGATAAAATTGCATTTAGGATTAGGGTATTTAATTTAATATAGGTTGTATTTAGAGCAGTAATAAATTTTGATTTACAATACTTAATTTTATATAAATTGTATTTAAAGTAATGATAAACTGGATTTAGGATCAGGGTATTTAATTTTATGTATATTGTATTTAACAGAATGATAAATTTGGATTTAGGGTTAGGGTATTTAAATTTATATAGATTGTATTTCTTCTTCTTTTATGTGCCATGTACCTTCAGGATGTAGACGATCATGGCTCTCCACTTCTTCCTATCCCTTGTTGTTCTCAATAAGTTTTATCTTTTGGTTATTTCTCCCAGACTCTATTCTGCCATCCACTTGCTTAAGCCCGTTAAGTATGTCATGCATTGCTTTCTTTTATCCCGCTTTTCTTCTATTCATCTTGTGAGTATCAGATTTTCCAAGCCCGCCTTTCTCATTACATGTCCCAGAAATTTCAGCTGCCTCTTCCTGATGTTAAGTATAAGTTTCCTCTCCAAAACCTCATCATTTCTCACATGTTCAGTCCATGGTATTCTTAGCATCCTTCTGTAGAACCATACCTCTGTTGCCTCAAGTCATCTTTGAGGAGACCGTCCAGCAGATTAGGGCATTTAATCTTATATGGGTTGAATTTAGAGCAAAGATAAATTGGAATTAAGATTAGAGTATTTAATTTTATATAGGTTGTATTTAGAGCAATAATACATTTGGATTTAGGATTAGTGTATTTAATTTTATATACACCCTTGTGCAAATTAATTGAAACAACCATTTTAGTTTCCTTTCTTTAGTCATATGGTAAGTTTTAGACCCACTGGAATGACAGGGTGTAATCGATTTCTATTTTTTCCTCAGATTGGGTCATGGGTCATTTGCAGTGGTGTGCAATAATATGAATCTATTTTCGGAGTGTATGATGAAATTTGTTTGACCTTGAAAATATTGCATCATGCATGATTGCATCAGATTTTTATTACACCCAGACACTATTGTCTCGACTGTCAATTAGTTTTCCTACAGTCATTGTCTGTAGTGGATGTTACTCCAAGGAAGTGTACGAAAATTGTAACACTGCACAAACATGCTGGCAAGCCTTACCAGTAAGCAAATCAAAGTACTATAAACTGGCCCAGAAACTCTCCTGATTTAAATCCAATCAAGAATCTGTGGTCAATCTGCAAGGAACAACTTTGTTGAATGGACATACAAAATACTAACATGTGTACTGGGTCATATCTCATTGGAGAAATATGTAAAAAAGTAAATAATAACAGAATTATTCATTTTGTTTCAATTAATTTGCACAAGGGTGTATTTTAGATTAGGAGAAATGAGAAATTTGCATTTCAGATTAGGGTATTTAATTTTATATAGGTTGTATTTAGAGCAATAATACATTTGGATTTACGATTAGTGTATTTAATAGAGCAATATTCAAACTACATTTAGATTTCAGATATTTAATTTTAAAACATAACAGTTATTGGAACTGAAAGTGGAACTGGTGAACCAAGTTCAAGTTCTATCCTTGTCTGTTGTTTTCACTTTAAGAAAAATGCCCTTTGAATAGATATGAATCCATCACTTCTTAACCAGCTATGGGTTCAATAATAGAATAAGCTGGCTTATCTAGCTTTAGATCAATGGACTACTCTGAGACCAAAACCATGGAGAAAGCCACAGGAAACCATTCCAATTCACAGATAATAAAGAAAAAGAATATATAAAGAGCTATGATTGCTTACATCCTGAAGAGACATTTCATGATAAAATTTTTAAAAATGGTTTTGGCAAGATTTACTGTATTTCTAAGCTTATAAGATATATGGGTATATTAGACATCCCCTGATTAATTATATTCAGTAAAAAGTTTTCTAGATCATTTAAGCATGCAATGTTTAAAGCAAGAAATCAAGACATTACAAAAGCACTTTAGCTATAACTGAAAATATCACTGTATATAAAAAGCAAGCTATTAGTAAAGCTAAGCATAAAAATCAAAGAAGAATCACAAAGCAAACACACTGACACATTCATCAGTTGTTCATCGTCAGCCATTTTGCAGGACCAACATATTTCTCTGCAGTCTTAACATTATATTTCCCAGATTAGTGATTTTTAATGTTTTTAAATAATAATAATAATATAGTAATTTAGATTAGGGATAGTGTAGGGGTCTCATGCCCCACTAAAATGTATGATACCCCACCCCACATTACTACATATTAATTTTCATAAGGCAGTATTCATATAGGGGGAGGTACGGTGGAGTAATGTATAGTGGCTCGGATTGAGGAATCAGAGAGCCAAGTTCGAATTCTAGTCAAATCCATTACATTCACTTACGTGCTAATACCATTGGAAAAGATATGAATCCTCTTCTTCTCCACTCAGCAGGACAGACCAGGTTCTATAGACTTGGATGGCAACTGGTCTGCCATAGAAAGAAATGGCAACCTACTGCAGGAAAAAATCTGCCTTGTCAGTCATGTATAGAAAGATATATGATCCCCTAAGCATGTATCACACATGGCACATAAGTAACTGAGTATTCATATGAAATGCACATTTTATTGTAACCTAATTATGTATAATAATGGTTCATATGCACTATAGGTGAACAGTTCAACTAGGAAAATTGAAAATAAATACAATGTATCTAAATACAAATTAGAGACAGATCATAATACATGATTCTGTCTTAATTAAATCAACAATGTTTTGCAGCAATTTTTAACATTGACTTGAATAATTTTAATACATTCAACATTATGGATAAAAAAATAGGTAATTTTATAGTGATTTTTTAAGACTTACCATGAACAAAACAAATTCATGGATTTGGACAAAAAAAAGATCCCTGAATGACATTAAAATCTGCAAAAAATTTAAATCCCTTAATAGTCAATTGCACTTGCAATTGTTTATTTTGTCATATATATAAATGCCGGTAGAAAAAAAAGCAAATGTTGATAGTGAGGATCACAAAGCGCAGCCTGGAGCCCCCAATCAGGCTTCTTCCCCACTTGGGTCGGAGGAGGCGGGGGAGTTAGTATATGCCAGTCCTGATTTGAAATAATTAATGTTGTTATATCAATGAACTAGGATTTTATAATCATCGCTTGGAAAACGTGAGTATCCAATGAAGATTTATTTAGAAATTACTCGTCTGAAAAAAATAAAAGTGAAGTAATATTTATATTTTGAAAAGGGCCTGCCTACTCTACAGGGTGTGATAAAAGTAATGCCCTTTTTTTATTTATTAAATTTTATTGCACAAAAATAAATTACAATAGTTTAAGAAATTTGTAAGTGTTGTCACCTCAAAAGAACATGATTTGTTATGATTAACAAACTATTTAACATGCTCAAAATTCTCCCCTTCATGTTTAATACAACACTGAACACTATCAGTAACACTTCTACAAACCATTTGACACATATCTACATTAATTTCAGAAGATTTATCAGAAGTTGCTTGTTTTAGCTCAGGAATTGTTTTCAGTTTGAGTCTGTATACAAGATTTTTCAGTATATCTCCACAAGAAATAGTCTGGTGGTGTTAGGTCTGGTGATTGTGATGATCACTCGATTACTTTACACCATCCTATTCATGTCAACCTGAAAATGAAGAGTGTTACTTTTGCTACACCCTGTATGTTATGAAATTGGCTTTGAAATAAAAAGGGAAAGCTTATTCTATATTTTTAAATAAAATGGGCCTGCCTATTCTATATTATGAAATGGACTCTAAAAAAAAATTGAATCAATATTTTATTTAATTTTGTTAAATTCTTTTCAGATTATTACACATCCCAGTGTTTGATTCCAACTATTTCAAGAATGGGACAGCCCCAGAATAGAGATAAAAATACTTTACGTCATCCTGGAGATAATACTGATATCCCCAAACAGCACAAAGCAATGGTACATGATGATTTTTGTCACCCTGAAGATATTACCCACAGATCCCAAAAGCAATATTCCCACTCAAAGCTTCTAAACAGACCAATAAAAAAGAAGCAGATCCCAGCCCATAAACAGCAATCCAAAATTCCCTGCCTACCCCGACAAAGGAACCCAGCCCTAGAGAATTATCCCAATGATGGCAAGCAATCAACACAAACTCCACAACAGAAACTGAATATGCCAAGAAGCATGTCAGAACAGTCCTCCATTTCTCTGCAAAATTCATTTTCTGATGAGACTGGATTGACGCCAACCCAAAAAACAATTAGCTCAGTTAAACAACGTGGAAAACCTGTGCCTGTGGAAAGCCTCCCAAGATATCAGCAAGAATTACTTCCACCTAAAGCACCACCAGACAAGAAAATAAAGCGCCCTGATACTGAAGCTTCTGGCTCGTACCAATATTCCGTAAAATCTGCACCCATTTTTGAGAGACCACCTGCTCAGACTCAATCTCAACTTCTTTCTCCTCGCAGATCTCCATCCCAGATTCCATTACCAAAACAAATTCCAGAAAGTTTCAGTAACTTGACCCCAGCAAAGACATTTCAGCCTGACACCCAGCAACTGACAGACTCTGATGATAATATGAGGATACCAAAATCCTCAATGAAGTTATTCCAATCTAAAATCCCAATGCCATTCCCCAGAATGCAAGCGCCATCAAAGCTAACTCCCACTAACTCGGAAAATACATCAGACCAGCTTGAAAAGTCTTGTTTGCCAACACTGTACATGCCCAACCAAGAGGAATTCATGGATGATACGCAAAACATAACTCAAAGAGCAAAATGTGATAACGTTTCTAAGAGATTGCGCCTCCAACCAAATCTCATATCACAAGAAAACAAAAATCTTTCATGTCCAGCAACGGAACAACCAACAAGTTATCCAGAATGGTATACACAGCTCCAGAAGAGTACAAATGCCAAAGAATCTTCCAGAATGGAATATCCAGAAAATTTTAAGCTGCCTAAGAATTTTGCAAATGCAGAAAATCGACAGCCTTCTCGTGGCATTAAAAAACATTTTAATTCTTTAAATCAATCTCAAGTATGACAATTAATAAAATAGCATAGAAAACAGATATGTTGTTAACAATTTCAGCAATAAGAAGTTGAAAAGAATATTCTGCAGCAAAGTTAAAAAGTCTCCTTTTCTTATTCAATTCTGATTTTGAGGGATTCATTCATTTTTACGGTTTATCAACACTTTGAAGGTTATTTAAAGCCAGAAAATATTTTTAGATTATAAAAAATTTGGGGGAGGAGATAATAACAATTTTAGCAATGCAAGTCTTACTAATTAACCCATAGCTGGAGAAGAGGTGTTGGATTCATACCTAATCAGAATTTGATAAACAAACAAGAAATTATAATGTGAATATAAAGTGGGGGATAAATTCTGTATTACAATCAATATATAAATTGTTCCCTCATTTTATCTTCACAGTAGTTTCTATACATTTATATTCAAGAGAATGTTAATAAATCTTAAAGACATGCCTGTGTAATAATAATGGTTTAATGATGCACATCTTACTAATTAACCCATAGTTGGGAGGAGAAGAGATGGATTCATACTGAATCAAAATTTGATAAACAAACATAAAAATTTTAATGTAGATATAAAGTGGGGGGGTAAATTCTATATTACAATCAATATGTAAATTGACCCCTCACTTTGTGGCCATGGTAGTTTCTCTACATTTATATTCCAGAGAATGTAAATAAATCTAAAAGGCATGCCAGAGTAGCTAATCAGTATTTGATTGATTGATTGATTTCTTTTCTACATCTTATCAACTTTTTGAAGGTTATTTAAAGCCAGAAAATTTTAGATTGTAAGAATCATGTTTTTTTTTGTGGAGATAATAATGGTTGAGTGATACAAGTCTTACTAATTAACCCATAGCTGGAGGTGTATTCATACCTATTCCCAAGGATATTTGCAAATAATGAAGTGAATATAATGAACCCAATGGGAATTGGAACTTGGCTCTCCGATTAACAATTCCAAGCTATTATCCAATACACCACCCACACATCCAAGCTTGCAGCACCTGGTATTCTCAAGCAGTTACCCATCTAGGTACTGGCCAGGCTTGACGTTGCTTAACTTTGGTGATTGTATGGAAACCAGTGTTTTCAATGTGATGTGGCCGTAATCCTTTATTTCTGGATTTGGTGAAAATAAACAAGGTTTGAGAAAATTTATTAGCAACAATTCCTCAAATGAATCATTCACTACAGGTGATGCATGTTGATTGCTATGTCTTACTTTTGCATTGAAACATGATACCAATTGTGTAGCAGTTTTTGACATGTTTTTAATGTAATATCCTAAAAGAAAGTATATATATATATATATATATATATATATATATATATATATATATATATATATATATATGCACGTTTCATTGAATATGCCAGACAAGGTGCTTTTATTTTAATCTTATTGCACCACTAGAGTTCCTTTTATCGCCAGAATGGTACTATTTACACAAAACTGATGGAATAAGTATGGGAAACCCTCTCAAGCCGTGCTTCTCCAATTATTATATGTCCTGTGTTGAAAACAAGGTTTTTACCAAAGTTATTAAACCTAAAATATATGTTTATTATGTAGATGATATATTTATTTTAGATATAATTTATCATCTGAAAAAAAAATTGTTAGATCACATGAGAAATTGTATAAAAAAGTAAATAAAAGCACCTTGTTGTATTCAATAAAATGTGCATGAAAGAAGGATTGCTGCCTAAATACACAAATATATATATATATATATATATATATATATATATATATATATATATATATATAACAACTGGATAAAAATAAAGTGATAATAAATTTATTCCAAATTTATATAATTAACAAAAATAATAATTCTGAGTAATCTATTTTGTAAACACAAAAACAACTGCAGAATGCACTTACTGAACTTTAAAATTCATTAACGTTGCCATTCGACAAGATGGTGGATATGCTGGGAATTAATATAAAATGAAATCTGCTGTATTTTTCCTCTGATGTAACTGCCTTAAATAATTAAATCTCTGAATTCCACAAAGACTGTAAATATGTCTTTTATAAATCTGTTAAATTTGGTTGTTGAATAAATTCCATCTGAATAATGTTCAACATATTTAATATACAATGTCAGTTTTCAAACAAAAAAAAAATATCTATATCAACTGTATTTATTCATATACAATGTGAAAAAGTTTGTATCAAAATGAAGGACACAAAGAGTTTTCTGTTATGATATAAAAGAAACTGTTTATTAAAATCACAATGTTATAAAAACTCAGTTCCAAACACTTTACCTAAAATGAATTAAAAAAATATTTGGGCAACCATGGAAAAACATACCTGCAATAATAAGATCATCATCTAATATCAAAAGAATGGTTTTTTCCCATGACATCGCTTGTTTTAATACTTTCACTTTTCGGCAATGTCTACTGTTTTAAAAGCGATGATTAGAACTGCAAAAAAACTTAAACACATGATGAAATTGAATTTATACATTTTTTTGTTCTTGAGAATTTACAACAAAAATATTAAACATTATTTATATAACTATATCAACTCTATTTATTCATATACAATGTGAAAAAGTTTGCATCAAAATCAAGGACACAAATGGGAGAGAAATTTTTTCTTATAATGCAGAATACTTGGAATATTATAATCACAAATAATATTTTACCAAATGGTGATTGTTATCGAAATCAGTCAATCTGAAAGAAATAAATCCATTATTAAACAAAACAAATTGAATAACTTTATTTTATTACACTTTTTATGAACAAAATATAAAAGCATGAATATTTAAAAACTGAAAATTTAGATTTGCTAGATTTTCAGAATATGCTATTTAGAATCCATTGCTGATTTCCATTTTCTACCCTTTCTGTGATCTAAATGTTAAGGTAGTTGCCACTTTCAGAGCACAAAATGGCTTTATTTGAATAATTATGCAATTTATTTATAAGTGCCATCAAGAAAACAATCATCAATTTATAAAGATCACAAAAGACCAAATTGGAAATGAACAACAGGAGTTATTTTCATCATTTGATTTTAATGTTGATTATGCAAATTATTTATCACTGAGAACTACTAGGCTGGGTAATAGAGGGTCTGCAAAAGTAGGTATACAGAAAGTCCTGATCTGGTGGCTCAGCTTCAGCCACTTGCCTTTCTGGACTTTTTTAATTTGAATGCAGTACTAGATTGGCAGTGAGATCTCATCAATCAACTTTAATCTTCAAATATTTAGATGCAATGTCAATCACTATCTCTGTCCTCTTGATTACTCTTTTCTCTTTCTGCTCATTACTAATGTTTCTGTTCCAAATTTCTCCACACCCTGTAACCCCTTGCATTTTAGTGGTTTTTACTGCCTTGCTTGGTGTGATACCAATTAAAAAAAATTAAAAAATAACAATTCCCCATTGTCGTAACATAGCTTCCCTGTGCCTTTTCTATAAATATTTTCATGGTAATTATTCTGATGAGCTTTCCTCTTTGGTAATTTGACTTTATGAATTTAAGGTTTCATTCTTTTACAGTTGAAATTGCTAGATGTAACTATTAGTTATTTACATTATTTAAACTCTTATCCTCATCTCTCCAGTTTTTGTTAGCAACCAGTCTAGAAGATAAACTTTGAATTCCCAAACCTTTTTTGTTTAGATTTACCACTTGTGGAACTCTCTCAGTATCTTGCTTTCCAGTCAATTTTGATCTTCAAAAGAATTTAAATGCAATGTCAATTGTTATCTTCTCTCTTCTTAATTCCTGTTCTTTTATTTTTCTTAATAATGATTTTATTTCTTTTATTCTTTCTCACTCAGTAATTCCTTGTGTCTTAGAGGCTTTATTACATTGCTTGGAGTGAAATTATTAAAAAAAAAAGGATTAGGCTCTTCAATCTTGGTTAGCAACCAGTCTAGAAAGAAAACTCTGAATTCCCAGACCTGGGTAGATGGAACTCATTAGCATGGAAGCACATGGTCATTTAAGAGGAGGAAAGGAGGAAAACCCCAAGAAAAAGCCCACTCTTCCTCAAAGTAGAGAGGATGGGCGTGGAGCCAATCATCCTTTCCTGTGGAATAATTTGATTATAGAAATCTGACCAAAATTCCTAATGTGTTTGGTGAACAGAAAAATCCCTTATCCTCAAAAAGATTGTCCTGTACACAGATTGCCAAAAAAAAGAAGAAAAATAATAAATCCTAGATAATTATTGCCTCACGTAAGGTAATTTTTTTTTTATCCTACCAGATTATCATGACCAATTGAAAATTTTACTTCCCCAATAAATGTCACTGCTTTTCACAACAAGGAGGTGGGTATTTTTTGGTTTGTGAGCGAGAGTGAGTTTGCTATGTCAGGGTCTGTAAGTTGGATTTTTTACCTGATTTTATTTGGCCTCTTAAACTTTTTTGATGTTGGAATTGAGATTTCTGATTTCTATACTGTTCATCTTTCCTGCCTTTTGGATTTGTGA